GCTCTGCAGGTGAGTATCACCCCCTCTCTATATCACTGACTCTGTATTAGATTGCAAGCTCTGCAGGAGAGGATCACTCTCTGATTCTGTGAGTTTTAGATTGCAAGCTCTGCAGGAGAGTATCACTCCCTCTCTATATCACTGACTCTGTATTAGATTGCAAGCTCTGCAGGAGAGTATCACTCCCTCTCTATATCACTGACTCTGTATTAGATTGCAAGCTCTACAGGTGAGTATCACTCCCTCTCTATATCACTGACTCTGTATTAGATTGTAAGCTCTGCAGGAGAGTATCACTCCCTCTCTATTTCACTGACTCTGTATTAGATTGCAAGCTCTACAGGTGAGTATCACTCCCTCTCTATATCACTGACTCTGTATTAGATTGCAAGCTCTGCAGGAGAGTATCACTCCCTGATTCTGTGAGTTTTAGATTGCAAGCTCTGCAGGAGAGTATCACTCCCCCTCTATATCACTGACTCTGTATTAGATTGCAAGCTCTGCAGGAGAGTATAACTCCCTCTCTATATCACTGACTCTGTATTAGATTGCAAGCTCTACAGGTGAGTATCACTCCCTCTCTATATCACTGACTCTGTATTAGATTGTAAGCTCTGCAGGTGAGTATCACCCCCTCTCTATATCACTGACTCTGTATTAGATTGCAAGGTCTGCAGGTGAGTATCACTCCCTCTCTATATCATTGACTCTGTATTAGATTGCAAGCTCTGCAGGAGAGTATCACTCCCTCTCTATATCACTGACTCTGTATTAGATTGCAAGGTCTGCAGGTGAGTATCACTCCCTCTCTATATCACTGACTCTGTATTAGATTGCAAGCTCTGCAGGAGAGTATCACTCCCTCTCTATATCACTGACTCTGTATTAGATTGCAAGGTCTGCAGGTGAGTATCACTCCCTCTCTATATCATTGACTCTGTATTAGATTGCAAGCTCTGCAGGAGAGTATCACTCCCTCTCTATTTCACTGACTCTGTATTAGATTGCAAGCTCTGCAGGTGAGTATCACCCCCTCTCTATATCACTGACTCTGTATTAGATTGCAAGCTCTGCAGGAGAGTATCACTCCTGATTCTGTGAGGTTTTAAGATTATGAGCTCTGCAGGGAGGTATCACTCCCCCTCTATATCCCACTGACTCTGTGTTGGGTTGCAGGCTCACTTACTTGAGGTATCCACTCCCTCTCTATGTCATGACTGTGTTAGATTGCAGGCTCTGCGGAGGTGTCACTCCTGGAGTGCGTGAGTTTTAGATTGCAAGCTCTGCAGGAGAGTATCACTCCCCCTCTATATCACTGACTCTGTATTAGATTGCAAGCTCTGCAGGAGAGTATCACTCCCTCTCTATATCACTGACTCTGTATTAGATTGCAAGCTCTGCAGGTGAGTATCACCCCCTCTCTATTTCACTGACTCTGTATTAGATTGCAAGCTCTGCAGGTGAGTATCACCCCCTCTCTATATCACTGACTCTGTATTAGATTGCAATGTCTGCAGGTGAGTATCACTCCCTCTCTATATCATTGACTCTGTATTAGATTGCAAGCTCTGCAGGAGAGTATCACTCCCTCTCTATATCACTGACTCTGTATTAGATTGCAAGGTCTGCAGGTGAGTATCACTCCCTCTCTATATCATTGACTCTGTATTAGATTGCAAGCTCTGCAGGAGAGTATCACTCCCTCTCTATTTCACTGACTCTGTATTAGATTGCAAGCTCTGCAGGTGAGTATCACCCCCTCTCTATATCACTGACTCTGTATTAGATTGCAAGCTCTGCAGGAGAGTATCACTCCCTGATTCTGTGAGTTTTAGATTGTAAGCTCTGCAGGAGAGTATCACTCCCCCTCTATATCACTGACTCTGTATTAGATTGCAAGCTCTGCAGGAGAGTATCACTTCCTCTCTATATCACTGACTCTGTATTAGATTGCAAGCTCTGCAGGTGAGTATCACCCCCTCTCTATCTCACTGACTCTGTATTAGATTGCAAGCTCTGCAGGTGAGTATCACCCCCTCTCTATCTCACTGACTCTGTATTAGATTGCAAGCTCTGCAGGTGAGTATCACCCCCTCTCTATATCACTGACTCTGTATTAGATTGCAAGCTCTGCAGGAGAGGATCACTCTCTGATTCTGTGAGTTTTAGATTGCAACCTCTGCAGGAGAGTATCACTCCCTCTCTATCTCACTGACTCTGTATTAGATTGCAAGCTCTGCAGGTGAGTATCACTCCCTCTCTATATCACTGACTCTGTATTAGATTGCAAGCTCTGCAGGTGAGTATCACTCCCTCTCTATATCACTGACTCTGTATTAGATTGCAAGCTCTGCAGGAGAGTACCACTCCCTGATTCTGTGAGTTTTAGATTGCAAGCTCTGCAGGAGAGTATCACTCCCTCTCTATCTCACTGACTCGGTATTAGATTGCAAGCTCTGCAGGAGAGGATCACTCCCTGATTCTGTGAGTTTTAGATTGCAAGCTCTGCAGGAGAGTATCACCCTCTCTCTATATCACTGACTCTGTATTAGATTGCAAGCTCTGCAGGTGAGTATCACTCCCTCTCTATATCACTGACTCTGTATTAGATTGCAAGCTCTGCAGGTGAGTATCACTCCCTCTCTATATCACTGACTCTGTATTAGATTGCAAGCTCTGCAGGTGAGTATCACTCCCTCTCTATATCACTGACTCTGTGAGTTTTAGATTGCAAGCTCTGCAGGAGAGTATCACCCTCTCTCTATATCACTGACTCTGTATTAGATTGCAAGCTCTGCAGGTGAGTATCACTCCCTCTCTATATCACTGACTCTGTATTAGATTGCAAGCTCTGCAGGTGAGTATCACTCCCTCTCTATATCACTGACTCTGTATTAGATTGCAAGCTCTGCAGGAGAGTACCACTCCCTGATTCTGTGAGTTTTAGATTGCAAGTTCTGCAGGAGAGGATCACTCCCTGATTCTGTGAGTTTTAGATTGCAAGCTCTGCAGGAGAGGGTGGCTGTCTGCATTGTCACTGTGTTCCCATATCCTGCAGAGAGGGTCCATCCTCTCCCATCTCCCCGCCCCAGTCCTGCCCTGTCCCACCCCAGGAGGAGGGAGGATTTTAAAGGGTACTCCCTGGTGCTGGGGCCAGGAGCAGGAGACACTTTGCTGGGTTGTCAGTGTGGTAGGAACATGCCGCCCCAGGAGAAGCCCATGGATTATTTGTCACACTTTGCCCCCCCTGTGCCCCCCCACATGCCCAAGCCTGTGCCCCCCCCTGGCTGCCTGGAGAGGGAGCTAAAATGTGTGCTGCTGGGGGATGGGGCAGTGGGGAAAACCAGCCTCCTGGTCAGCTACACCACCAATGGGTACCCCACCAAGTACATACCTACTGCCTTTGATGACTTCTCAGGTAGGTCACTGAGAAGGGGGAGGGAGAGGGGGGTTTAAAGAGACACCCAGGGTCACTTACCGACAACAGTAATGTGTGGGGGTATTTATTATTACTACTGTATGGGCGGCATTTATTATGGCTGTATGGGGGGCACTGCATGGCTGTATGGGGGCATTGTATATTACTGTATGGGGGGCATTTATTATGGCTGTATGGGGCATTGTCTATTACTGTATGGGGGGGCCCTGCATGGCTGGATGGGGGCATTGTATATTACTGTATAGGGGGTACTGCATGGCTGGATGGGGGCATTGTATATTATTGTATAGGGGGCACTGCATGGCGGTATAGGGGCATTGTATATTACTGTATGGGGCACTGCATGGCTGGATGGGGGCATTGTATATTACTGTATGGGGGCACTGCATGGCTGGATGGGGGTAATACTTCTGTATATTACTGCAAGTATTTATTTATGGCTGTATAAGTAAATTGCATGGCTGTATGGGGGCATTTATTATGGCTGTATGGGGCATTGTCTATTACTGTATGGGGGGGCCCTGCATGGCTGGATGGGGGCATTGTATATTATTGTATAGGGGGCACTGCATGGCGGTATAGGGGCATTGTATATTACTGTATGGGGGGCACTGCATGGCTGGATGGGGGCATTGTATATTACTGTATGGGGGCATTGTATATTACTGTATGGGGGGCACTGCATGGCTGGATGGGGGCATTGTATATTACTGTATGGGGGGCATTTATTATGGCTGTATGGGGGGCACTGCATGGCTGGATGAGGGCACTGTATATTGCTGTATGGGGGGCACTGCATGGCTGTATGGGGGCATTGTATATTACTGTATGGGGGGCACTGCATGGCTGTATGGGGGCATTGTATATTACTGTATGGGGGGCCCTGCATGGCTGTATGGGGGCGTTGTATATTACTGTATGGGGGTATGTCCTGTGATGCTTGGTTAATACACAGTTTAATCTCATTATTAGGTTGTTGTACAGATTTGGGCCCATAACAGCTTTAATTTCACCACACCCTGAATGTTATCAAATAACTTCTATTTATATTACATAACTCAATATTATAACTTGTTATCAAATAACTTATTACATAACTCAATATTATAACTTGTATCTGTATCTATACATGACTCTGAATGATATTCTGTAAAAAGTAGTATAAAACTCAGATATATAATAACATTGAAGTGGATATTAGAATAATGCCGTTCTAAAATAACACGCAGATATGTAATCATTATACACAGTTATATGCAGACATATAATATTATGCAATTATATCACATCAGACAGAATACTCTAGAATTCTATAGCTATATAATAACTTACAGGCATATAATATTATGCAGCTGTAAAATAAGACAGAATATTACAGCTATATAATAACATGCAGATATGTAATAATATTATGCAGCTATATAATAAGACAGAATATTACAGCCATATAATAACATGCAGATATGTAATAATATTATGCAGCTGTATAATAAGACAAAATATTACAGCCATATAATAACATGCAGATATGTAATAATATTATGCAGCTATATAATAAGACAGAATATTACAGCCATATAATAATGATATGGAAATACCAACAGCATGCTTATCCAGCTATATGCGCTACGGAATATGTTGGCGATTTATAAATGATAATATAATAAGGGGAAGATGTGATTGGATGTGGTTGCATGTTCTGTCTGTATAGCTGTTTGTTATTGCACCAGCTGTTATTATATATCCACATGTTGCAGTTATATAGCTCGGCATGCTGTAAATGACCGTGGCTGCGTCATTACATTACGCCACGCGTTATCGCCCTCTGCTGATTGGGCTGTAAATGAAGTTATGGTGACATTGCATTATTTATTGCACACGTTTAATATGCCAAAATATTCTTTGCCAAGTTTCCAAACAGCTCACTTTAGATTTATTAGGAAAGGTTAGGTCTGCTGGCTTCCAATTCCGTATCTTCGCATGGCTAATGACACCCTTGGGTGGCCATGTTTCATGTCATTGGGTCAATGTCTGAGTAGTTTCCAAACCTGTGCATTGTCTGCGGATATACTCGGTAAATACACTGCACTGTACTCCCTGTGTGTGTGTGTGTTACATGTATACCAGGGCAAGGAAAACAACCCAGTACCTATAGGGGAGCTGGAAGGGCTTTCCTACAGTGATGGGAGTTGCAGCTCTGGGACAGGTGTAATTGTTTATAGCAAGTTTCAGAGTCCTGCTTTTAATCTTTTAAATGAGTGACCAGCCTTTATATTAAACTGGGGGGGGGGGGGCATGTAATTGCCCGAATCTTTCAAAGGTGTTAACACCACGTCTGCAGATGTATGAGGTCATTGCTGGGATAGAAACTGTTAAATATTTGTTAATAATCTGAACTAATGAATAGGTGTTTCCATCAATACACAGAATATGCTGCGTTCCCGTGTTCCGCAAGCTGTCACAGGACAAAGGTTATTGGTGTTCTCCGCCCCCCTCCCAGGTCACAGCGAAAATATTGAGAGACGTCAACACTTGGGCTGTAAATAGTGATCCCTTCATTACCAAAGTGCTGGGCCATCCTTTAAACATATAGAGTAGGAACCTTCCAAAAGTAATGACAGAATGGGCAAGGCCCGAGAGATTGGACTAGAAAGTCACCGGGTTAAACTTTAATTGGTTTAAATTCAGGCCTCCGTCAGTAATTAGCTGCCACTCAGTTCTTTGCCAACATTGCTGCCTTGTTACAGCTCCGCGCCCTAGCCAGCCGCGTCCCCAGCAGATCAGTGTAGTTAGGTCAAGGATTTAGCCATACATTGCTGCGCTACTACACATGGTGCACCATTGAAATGGTTTTCTGTTTTTTTATGGAGACTGTGTATACACTAATGTTAGTCACATTTTAGGCATACAGTCAGTCATGGTTTGCAGTGAGTTTTTTTGATTCAGTGCGTAACGCTAGGAGTAAGACATTTCATCCAGTTTTGCAGTCGAATAATTGAAAGTTTTGTATCGCATCGCGGAGCGCGTTTAATATTGCAGGAAAATCCAACAGTAATCATTTTATTGTGTGTTCTAAAATGGTTTCTGGGTTTGAAAGCTGTCAGTAAGTAATGGGCAGCACTCACAGCAGGAATCAATCTTACCCATCAATAAAACAATGGAAAATGCTTATCTCAGCCTTTCATTATGTAACACAGCAAGAGTGAGATTACATTGTACAGAAACCTGATCTCTGTACATAGGAGTGAGTCATGTGGCGGAGTTAAAGAGACCTGCACTCTCTGCACACAGCAAGGCAATGCTGGACGTCAGGATTGTGATAGATTGCAATTTATCAAAGTCCCAGGCATGCATCTCTAAACTAAAATCCTGCCTCCTGATAGGTTTCATTTGCGTCATTCGATTAACTACAGCAAGCAAAACCACGACTGCAAACAAACAGATCAATACAATAAACAAACAGATCAATACAATAAACAAACAAACAGATCAATACAATAATACCTTCTTACCGTAACCCGTGCTTATAATCTTATTTTATTTCAAAACTGTAAGAAAACAAATTTCAAACCCAAATTTATTTACTAAGGAATGGGTGATAGATAAGTAATGCATAGACCTGCCTTCCAGCAGAGGTGGTAGCTGGTGGAGCGGTGTGCAATGAGGGCATTTAATAAGGGAATTATCCTGCCAGTCACATCAACTAACTGTTTAACCATTCCTTCTTTATTGCAGCTCAAGTGAAAGTTGGAAAAATTCCAGTGAAGTTGCAGCTGTGTGACACGGCCGGCCAGGTGAGTACACGTGTACCTACCTGTATGTCGACTCTGTTGGTGTACTCTATACAGATTGTAAATTCATTTAAAGTAGTTGGAAAACATCTAAATTAGAGACATTTTGTATTTCACCTATTTTGTCCCCAAATTTTTAGTACCTGCTGCATTAAAAAAAAAAAAAAAAAAAATGTATGTAGGGGGAATTAAATGTGATGAGAAGTTAGACATCCAGCTACCGAGTGTGGGATATTCTTGAAAACCGCTTCAGGTGTATTGGGCAAATCAGTTTAGATCCCTGTGAAAACACGCAATGAGGGCCGCCTTAAATACAGTACTCTGCAAAGTGAGATATTAATCTTAGTCTCTAAGTGCTAGGGGCCTGCGTGACACAGCGGCCAATTACAAGTGTCTGAAATATCGCTCTTACTAAGGGCCTGCGTGACACAGCAGTCAGTTACATGTATCTGCAATATCGCAGTAGCTAGGAGTCTGTGTGAGACAGCGGCCAGTTACATGTATCTGCAATATCACGCTAGCTTGGGGTCTATGTGACACAGCGGCCAGTTACATATATATCGGGAAGATCGCACTAGCTGGGGTCTACGTGACACAGCGGACAGTTACATGTATCTGGAATACTGTCAATGGCCTGATTTCGGCTGTCCCATAGATTTAGGTTTTTATTGGCCTTGAGAAGGGAGCCCTTTGCCTTGTTTTAAAAACACGAATAAACTCCCCTCGAAGCCAGGGATGCTTGCAATGAGTTGCTGGTATTTGTAGCAAACACTTGCAGGCAGATGCAGCCCTGAGGTAACCCTCCAGGTGTGTTGAAACTACGATTCCCATGATGCTTTACCAGCCTCAAGGAAATTTTTAATCCGCAACAGCTGGAGTGTTACTTTGCGACTCTCCCTGCCTTAAGGAATTGATACGCGTTCTACAATAATTCTGCAGGAGATCGGATTACAGCACAGCGACGCGAAAACTACAAAACAGGATGGACTTGTAAAGTTCAAGGCAACATTAGTATAAACCCCTTAATAGCCTGAGATGTGCCGGACTTATTGCTTCGTGTTTGACAGACCTGTGCACTCCAGCGGGTCAATGCGACAAGTTTACTTTTTTATGGTCCTTGCGGTTTCTGAATATTAAGTTAATTACAGAACTAGATTAAGGGGTTAACTGTCTAAACAGTGAGCTGACGTATGACTTGAAAATGCAGCCAAAATTGCTCATTTGAAAAAAAACAACCAACCAACAGTGAAATAAACAAAACACATTTTCAACCTGCGTTAAGCTGAAATGAAGTCTTTAGTTCAGTCGTCTGTCCCATCACCGCAACGCTTGGTTAGGGAAAAAAAGTCTGTCCGCTCGATCATTTGTTAATCATAGTATACTAGGACTGAGTTAGTTGTCCTGATTGACCTGGTTAATATAGAGACTGATCCCATTTCTGTATGAAGGATTTTTGAAACTCTGATTAGGGACCCAAACATGTAATCCTGACCGTCTACTGTAAAACAACCATCTAGTAGTTGTTCTAGTGACTATGGTCAGATGTGGGAAAGTGTGTGCTGTATGCTTTAAGTAACAGCTGTAAAAGATGTATTTAATCTGTCCTTTTAGCTAGCATTACAGAAATGATCGGACTCGCACCGCAGTGGGCGGGGACATGAAGTAGAGCTAATTGCTGCAGCTGTCGTTTTATAGCCGCAAGATAACCTTCTGTTCCGATCCCGTGTGGATCAGTGTATTAAGCCAATGTGGCAAATCGAGGCATTACATACGTGTGTGTGAAGTTAATTTACCATAATGCTCTGCCAGACTAAAATGCATGCCAGTATTGCCGTCAGATTTACTAAGCAGTAGGGGTTTGGAGAGACTTGTTCGGCAGTGTCTTGCAGAGCCTCCAATTAATAACACTGTGTCTCTAAATTATAAATATTGTGTTTATCTTCTACATGTGTGTCCACTTACAGTACGCCTTTTGACACATTTGCTGCGGGCGTAGCATTTTAATATTCTTGCCGCTATCAGTTTCAAAGCTCTGAATTCTCCTTTGTTTCCTCTCAATCCTAGGATGAGTTTGACAAATTGCGTCACTTTTGCTACCCGAAGACAGATGTTCTGATCCTGTGTTTCAGCGTTGTAAGTCCATCCTCTTTCCAGAACATTTCAGAAAAGTGGATCTCTGAAATCCGGTGCCACTGTCCTCACGTGCCCCTTGTGTTGGTGGGGACACAGTGTGACCTCAGGGAAGACGTCAAAGTTCTGATTCAGCTGGCTCGCTATCGGGAGAAGCCTGTACCTCCTTCTTCCGCGCAGGCCTTGGCAGAAAAGATTGGCGCTGTGGCTTATGTGGAATGCTCTGCTTTGACTCAGAAGAACCTTAAAGAGGTCTTTGACACGGCCATTGTTTCTGGGCTCCGATATTCCGAATTGTGTCTCCAGCGAGAGAGAAAAATGGCTTGCACGGCCAACAAAATGAAGACTCTTTCTAAGGGTTGGTGGAAAAAGTATGTGTGCATTTGACAGAGAGACATGTTTGCATATACCATGATGTGAAGTATGCCTCAAATGATGTGGGGTCATGACGCATGGCCAAGGAACATACTCAACAAATCCATGTCTCATTGGAAAGCTAAAAGTATCCACTAAATATTGAACATTTCTGGACCAAAGTGTGCTTTCCGTACATTTAAGATGATGATTTATGAGATTTAACTTGACGTGACTGCACCCGAGATTTTGATTGGGACTTTGGAAGCTCCAGTCATACGGGAGCCCAGTCGATGTAAACATGCAATTGATTGATGGCCAGGAAGTCTTACAGGACTTCAAGTGGAAAATAAACTATTATTTGCACCTGCGTGTTCACTGGATAGGGTATCACTGAGTCCCCCAGCAAGGTGGGATATTACGAGCAAAAAAAAAAAAATGCATTCAAAAGGGGTAAACTTGATTTGCTGCCTGTTTTGAGGCATCTTGAACTTTTCTACAGCTTCTGTTTTAAGGAGCGTGTGCGATAACGTGAAAACCAAAATATTCCAAGGGAACCTGTCTCTTTAAGGTGATGGCATGTGGGTATATCCAGACCCTGAATCCGTGGTGTAAAAACCGCAGGTTTTAATATAATCTTTGCTTTTACCTGATTCACTCTGTGCCTTAATAAGCTCACGTGGGCACCTCTATATATGGGGTGGCCCTCTAGCCGTTGTGGAACTGGTTCCTGATTTATGTGTCGTAATTGATGCTTTATAAGTATGTTTTACAGCACGTCTCTGACTTAATGTGATTCTGTTCAGGCAATAAAATTCTTTAAAATACAAAGTGTGCAGTGTCAGTCGATAATCTGGGACAGTATGCCCTTGGTGTGTGTGTGTGTTGATATTATGTATGTAGTGAATTGTCTGTTTGTGCTGTCTCTGTGGTAAAATTGTGTGTGTCAGTATCTGAGTAGCTTCTGTCGGCTGCCATTTCATTATCCGACCGCCTCTGGCCAAACACAAACCCCTCTCCATCCCGTGTGCTGTTGTCGGTTAGGCTGAATATCTTATTATTACATTCCGTATCTGGTGATATGAGAAATAGTATAAAGAAAACACACAGTGGAAAGACCCGGCACACGCCCTACGGCCAATGGAAATACCCAGTAACGGAGTTAGACTTCCTTTGAAGCTTATCTCAGGCCAAAGGCCACATTAAACTTTTCCAGTGAACTCAGTGCTTGTGAATCTCTGAATAACAGACAGCACATCAGAAATGGAAAGCTAGCATACTATCCTGGGATAGATACTCCGTATCATTATACAGAGCGCTGTGTTCATTATCAGCGTATAGATACTCAGTATCATTATACAGAGCGCTGTGTTCATTATCAGTGTATAGATACTCAGTATCATTATACAGAGCGCTGTGTTCATTATCAGTGTATAGATACTCAGTATTATTATACAGAGCGCTGTGTTCATTATCAGCGTATAGATACTCAGTATCATTATACAGAGCGGTGTGTTCATTATCAGCGTATAGATACTCAGTATCATTATACAGAGCGCTGTGTTCATTATCAGCGTATAGATACTCAGTATTATTATACAGAGCGCTGTGTTCATTATCAGCGTATAGATACTCCGTATCATTATACAGAGCGCTGTGTTCATTATCAGCGTATAGATACTCAGTATCATTATACAGAGCAGTGTGTTCATTATCAGCTTATAGATACTCAGTATCGATATACAGAGCCGCTGTGTTCACATCATGCCATAGATACTCACTATCATTATACAGAGCGCTAGGTTCCACATCAGTGTATAGATACTCAGTATCATTATACAGAGCGTCTACATCAGTGTATAGATACTCATAGTATCATTATACAGAGCTACTTGTGTTCATTATCAGTGTATAGGATATCGTGTACATATACAGAGCGCCAGGTTATTATCAGTGTATAGATACTCAGTATCATTATACAGAGTCAGCTTGTGTTCATTATCAAAGTGTATAGATACTCAGTATTATTATACAGAGCTGTGTTCATTATCAGTGTATAGATACTGTAGTATCATTATACAGAGCGGTGTGTTCATTATCAGCGTATAGATACTCAGTATTATTATACAGAGCGTGTGTTCATTATCAGTGTATAGATACTCAGTATCAATATACAGAGCGGTGTGTTTCATTATCAGCGTATAGATACTCAGTATCATTATACAGAGCGGTGTGTTCATTATCAGTGTATAGATACTCAGTATCATTATACAGAGCGGTGTGTTCATTATCAGTGTATAGATACTCAGTATCATTATACAGAGCTGCGTGTTCATTATCAGTGTATAGATACTCAGAATTATTATACAGAGCGGCGTGTTCATTATCAATGTATAGATACTCGGTATCATTCTACAGAGCGGTGTGTTCATTATCAGTGTATAGATACTCAGTATCATTATACAGAGCGGTGTGTTCATTATCAGTGTATAGATACTCAGTATCATTATACAGAGCTGTGTGTTCATTATCAGTGTATAGATACTCAGTATTATTATACAGAGCGGCGTGTTCATTATCAGTGTATAGATACTCAGTATCATTATACAGAGCTGTGTGTTCATTATCAGTGTATAGATACTCAGTATCATTATACAGAGCGGCGTGTTCATTATCAGTGTATAGATACTCAGTATCATTATACAGAGCGGTGTGTTCATTATCAGTGTATGGATACTCAGTATCATTATACAGAGCGGCGTGTTCATTATCAGTGTATAGATACTCAGTATCATTATACAGAGCGGTGTGTTCATTATCAGTGTATAGATACTCAGTATCATTATACAGAGCGCTGTGTTCATTATCAGCGTATAGATACTCAGTATCATTATACAGGGCGGTGTGTTCATTATCAGTGTATAGATACTCAGTATCATTATACAGAGTGCTGTGTTCATTATCAGCGTATAGATACTCAGTATCATTATACAGAGCGGCGTGTTCATTATCAGCGTATAGATACTCAGTATCATTATACAGAGCGCTGTGTTCATTATCAGTGTATAGATACTCAGTACCATTATACAGAGCGGTGTGTTCATTATCAGCGTATAGATACTCAGTATTATTATACAGAGCGCTGTGTTCATTATCAGTGTATAGATACTCAGTACCATTATACAGAGCGGTGTGTTCATTATCAGTGTATAGATACTCAGTATCATTATACAGAGCTGTGTGTTCATTATCAGTGTATAGATACTCAGTATTATTATACAGAGCGGCGTGTTCATTATCAGTGTATAGATACTCAGTATCATTATACAGAGCTGTGTGTTCATTATCAGTGTATAGATACTCAGTATCATTATACAGAGCGGCGTGTTCATTATCAGTGTATAGATACTCAGTATCATTATACAGAGCGGTGTGTTCATTATCAGCGTATAGATACTCAGTAATATTATACAGAGCGGTGTGTTCATTATCAGTGTATAGATACTCAGTATCATTATACAGAGCGCTGTGTTCATTATCAGTGTATAGATACTCAGTATCATTATACAGAGGGGTGTGTTCATTATCAGCGCATAGATACTCAGTATCATTATACAGAGCGGTGTGTTCATTATCAGCGTATAGATACTCAGTATCATTATACAGAGCGCTGTGTTCATTATCAGCGTATAGATACTCAGTATTATTATACAGAGCGGCGTGTTCATTATCTGTGTATAGATACTCAGTATCATTATACAGAGCGGTGTATTTATTATCAGTGTATAGATACTCAGTATCATTATACAGAGCGATGTGTTCATTATCAGTGTATAGATACTCAGTATCATTATACAGAGCGTGTTCATTATCAGCGATAGATACTCAGTATCATTACAGAAATGTATTGTGTTCATTATCAGCGTGATAGATATACTCAGTATTATTATACAGAGCGCCAGGTTCATTATCAGTGTATAGATACTCAGTATCATTATACAGAGCTTCTACTGTGTTCATTATCAGTGTATAGATACTCAGTATCATTATACAGAGCGCTGTGTTCATTATCAGTGTATAGATACTCCGTATCATTATACAGAGCGGTGTGTTCATTATCAGTGTATAGATACTCAGTATTATTATACAGAGTGCTGTGTTCATTATCAGTGTATAGATACTCAGTATTATTATACAGAGCGGTGTGTTCATTATCAGTGTATAGATACTCAGTATCATTATACAGAGCGGTGTGTTCATTATCAGTGTATAGATACTCAGTATCGTTATACAGAGCGGCGTGTTCATTATCAGTGTATAGATACTCAGTATTATTATACAGAGCGGCATGTTCATTATCAGTGTATAGATACTCAGTATCATTATACAGAGCACTGTGTTCATTATCAGTGTATAGATACTCAGTATTATTATACAGAGCGCTGTGTTCATTATCACTGTATAGATACTCAGTATCATTATACAGAGCGGTGTGTTCATTATCAGTGTATAGATACCCAGTATCATTATACAGAGCGCTGTGTTCATTATCAGCGTATAGATACCCAGTATCATTATACAGAGCGCCGTGTTTATTATCAGTGTATAGATACTCAGTATCATTATACAGAGCGCCGTGTTCATTATCAGTGTATAGATACTCAGTATCATTATACAGAGCGGTGTGTTCATTATCAGCGTATAGATACTCAGTATTATTATACAGAGCGCTGTGTTCATTATCAGTGTATAGATACTCAGTACCATTATACAGAGCGGTGTGTTCATTATCAGCGTATAGATACTCACATTGTACTCATTATAGTAGAGTTCATACAGAGCGGTGTGTTCATTATCAGTGTATAGATACTCAGTATTATTATACAGAGCGCTGTGTTCATTATCAGTGTATAGATACTCAGTATTATTATACAGAGCGCTGTGTTCATTATCAGTGTATAGATACTCATTATCATTATATAGAGTGCTGTGTTCTTTATCAGTGTATAGATACTCAGTATCATTATACAGAGCACTGTGTTCATTATCAGTGTATAGATACTCAGGATCAAAATAAAGAGCGCTGTGTTCATTGTCAGTGTATAGATACTCAGTATCCTTATACAGAGTGCTGTGTTCATTATCTATTCATAGATACTCTGTATCATTATACAGAGCGGTGTCTTCATTATCAGCGTATAGATACTCAGTATTATTATACAGAGCGGTGTGTTCATTATCAGTGTATAGATACTCAGTTTTATTATACAGAGCGATGTGTTCATTATCAGTGTATAGATACTCAGTATCATTATACAGAGCGCTGTGTTCATTATAAGTGTATAGATACTCAGCATCATTATATAGAGCGCTGTGTTCATTATCAGTGTATAGATACTCAGTTTTATTATACAGAGCGATGTGTTCATTATCAGTGTATAGATACTCAGTATCATTATACAGAGCGCTGTGTTCATTATCAGTGTATAGATACTCAGTATCATTATATAGAGCGCTGTGTTCATTATCAGTGTATAGATACTCAGTTTTATTATACAGAGCGATGTGTTCATTATCAGTGTATAGATACTCACTATCATTATACAGAGCGCTGTGTTCATTATCAGTGTATAGATACTCAGTATCATTATATAGAGCGCTGTGTTCATTATCAGTTTATAGATACTCACTATTATTATACAGAGCGCTGTGTTCATTATCAGTGTATAGATACTCAGTATCATTATATAGAGCGCTGTGTTCATTATCAGTGTATAGATACTCAGTATCATTATATAGAGTGCTGTGTTCATTATCAGTGCATAGATACTCATTATCATTATATAGAGTGCTGTGTTCATTATCAGTGTATAGATACTCATTATCATTATATAGAGCGCTGTGTTCATTATCATTGTATAGATACTCAGTATCATTATACAGAGCGCTGTGTTCATTATCAGTGTATAGATACTCAGTATCATTATACAGAGCGCTGTGTTCATTATCAGTGTATCGATACTCATTTTCATTATATAGAGCGCTGTGTTCATTATCAGTGTATAGATACTCAGTATTATTATACAGAGCGCTGTGTTCATTATCAGTGTATAGATACTCATTATCATTATATAGGCGCTGTGTTCATTATCAGTGTATAGATACTCAGTATCATTATACCAAAAGGCGCTGTGTTGTCATTATCAGTGTATAGATACTCTAAGAATCATTATATAGAAGCGCTGTGTTCATTATCAGTGTATAGATACTCAGTCATATATAGAAGCTGTGTTCCATTATCAGTGTATAGATACTCAGTATTATTATGGGCGCTGTGTTGTCATGATCAGTGTATAGATGCTCAGTATCATTATACAGGCGCTGTGTTCATTATCGGTGTATAGATACTCAATTATTATTATACGGGCTGTGTTCATTATCAGTGTGTATAGATACTCAGTATCATTATGCAGGCTGTGTTCATTACATCAGTACATTATAGATACTCATTAACTTCTGGGGCTGTGTTCATTATCCTCACCCGTATAGATGCTCAGTATCTACATTATACGGAAGCGTGTTCATTATCAGGGTATAGATACTCAGTATCATTATACAGAGTGCTGTGTTCATTATCAGTGTATAGATACTCATTATCATTATATAGAGCGCTGTGTTCATTATCAGTGTATAGATACTCAGTATT